CTTCCTGCAAGTCTAGGTCCATATGAAATATAAAGCTTCTATCTAAACTCAATCATCTAGTATCTTACATTTCTACTATCAGAGCTGGTGGGATCTATACTCTGTTACATGGGCGGACTTATAGTTGTTAAAAAGTGTTCATGTGAACACCCAAAAAATTAACTAGTGTAAAAATACATGTATATGAATATTAATGTTAAATTTAATATATGTATATGAACACTTAAAACTTATAAAATCAAATTGAACCTTCAAAATTAATGTCCAATATCCGCCACTGTCTGTTACTATCTACAAGTAGGGATTAACTGGGTCCGATGACCTGGACCTGCCACTACTGTCGGGTCCGGTCCAGTTTTCCGGGACCAGTTTCAGGCCCGGTACCTGGCCTGGTGGAAAAGGGAGGCAGGCTCGGACTCCTCTTGTGGTGGACCGGCCCAGGCCTAAGGGTCACCAGTTAATTTTCTTTCCCATTTGGGTTGACTGCTGGGTGGGTGGGGCTGGGCAGTTTGGTGGGTTTGGGAGGTCGGGGTTAGAATTCATTAAAAAAAACAAAATTAACAAAAAAATATTACAGGCCCGACCCGGTCCCGGACCGAATCCCACCCGGGTAGCCCGAACCGAAACTGGTACTGGTGCATTGCGGGCCGATACCGGGCTTGATTTTCTTAGTCCCGAAGCCCGCCCAGGCCCGAGGCCCGACCCGGCCAGTCCCAGTCCATGCCTGTCTACAAGAATTGAATGAAGATGGATATTGTCTTAGATGTCATTGTAACAATTTACAGTGTCAAAAACTCATATATCGATGTCTGAATCCACGTGAAATACGTTGATTCATAACCCAAAACTTTTGTATTGGTAGTTCTTATTTTTTTTAATATGGCTAAGTTTTTTTTGGAAAGAAATATCTTATATTAGAATCAATCAAAATGTACCAACAACCATACCCCACAACCAAAACCTCCCTCTATCCAACCAATATCAAAAGTCCATCGGTCCCCTCACGTCATGTTCGGACATATAATAGCCCACCCCGGAAAGAGCGAGACTAATCATTGAAAAAATGAGAGCATAGAGACTATTAGCGGCTGAACCAGTCTGATTGCCTCCAACAAGATTTATACCTACTAAATAAAAGCAGCACTCATACCCACCCCCTTATTGTACGACACAAAAACAACATAAACAACAAACAAATTCAATCTGAAATGAAAAATGCAAAAGAAATAAGACTTCAGCTGATGGAACTCTCTTGCTTCCATCCCTTCAGTTTTGTATCAGGCGGGCTTTGTGGCCTACCTCCTCCCCATTTTTTGACCACTTCAGCTCTACCTCCATGTCCTTGTGCAAAGATCTTTCCTCCCATTGATAAACTCTCTGCTCAATCTTCTCTCCTATAGCATGATGTTCTTGCTCCTTTTGCGGATTTCCTTGACCATCCAAGCCTGACGCGTTGGTGCTGCCTTCGCCTTCCTTCCCTTTTCCTTTGCCCACTGGAACTAACCACTTATTCCCACCCTCCCTTTTGAAGCTCTTAGCTCAGGTCCAAACAGTAGGCCTCCACTCTTCCATGTTCCATCAGGATAATACGGGCAATATCTTTCTGCATGACCAATAATACCACAAATAAAACATAAACTAGGGAGTTTTTCATATCTAAACTTGACACAAGAATTGTCCCCTTCATCCATTTGCAAAAAGGGTTTCATTTTCAAGGGTCTGGTCAGATCAATACTAACTCTTGTCCTCGTGAACGGATTCCATTTGGCAGAAAATTTTTGTTCATCCACTTTAATGAATCTTCCCACAAAATTACCAATTTTTATTGCATTCTTCATAGACAAATATCCAACCGGAACATCATGGATCTATAGACAGAAATCAGCCCTATTTAAGAGCACCGCTAAAGGTAGATCCCCTTGCCTTAACCTATCTAATATGATGAGGTTATGATCAAACGTCTAGGGTCCTTCCTCCAAAACCCGTATCATATCACTTTCATTATAAAATTGAAACATGTACCTTCTACCCCTAACTCTGTAATAGTGACGCCTCTAACGGGTTTCCAAATATTTTCCATAGTATCTCGAAAAATGGAAAAGTGTACCGATTTTTCAGATGTAATTGTCTCCACCAAGGACAAACCCTCATCTTGACTATCAGGCACCGTGGCCTCTATCTGTAGGAATTCATCTACATCCTACATCTCCATGCGTCCATACGCACTAACTAGCCTCTCAATCTCCCTCTGCTCATTGATGTCCTCCATCGATCCTTTCCATGCCGTTAGTATCCTTCTGCTTGCCAACGAACACACTGTCTGCGAAACTCTTCCTACGCCGGCTGCTTTGCTCCGTCCCTCGCCAAAACCTACTGCAAACGGACAAGACATATGGTTGTTACTCTTCGCTGAATCCCTCCAGCAATCAGCCGATAGCCTGGATGGCCTTTTCGATGCCCGACAAAAGATCGCCAACCAAACTCTCGCAAACCTAGTTTACCCTAGGTGTGAGCCTCTCCGCTTAGGTGTTGAAGTTTGTACGCCCAATATATTTGTATTTTCATTGTCGAAAGTTCGGTGAACTTGGTTGAATTTACAAGTTTGTCTTTTAAATTAAGGATGTTTTTAATTGAACCAGTTTCATCCTCAGACCTGATTTAATCAGATTTGAATAGACCAAACCAAATTTCAACAATCGTAAAATACACATAGAAAAAACTAATTCAGATCTAATCATACCAAAATTAAATAGATCGGACCAAAAATTACAATCCAATTCATTAAAAACATTAAAGGGTTACAACATACAACTCTTTAGAGTTGATTCTATTGAAGTTGTCAAACATCCTCATGGTTCATGCTTATGAGAGATGCACGGTAAGAAGTATTATTTCGAATGGTGATTTCTCGATGCTACTTTTTTCATACCTACTGTTTGTGGGTGATGAATACCTACTTACTTGCCGTGTGCATTAGAGCATCTCCAATGCTCTAATGTGCACGGTGCACATGTGGCATGAGTCATAGCCACATAAATATTAGCAAATAAATTATCTCTCTCCTTATTTAAATGATTTTATACAATTTTGGTAAGTTTTTCTCTGCAATGTCAACAACAATGTCAACATTTAGACGGTCTCGTTGACATTGTGGAGAAAAACTTACCAAAACTATATAAAATCATTTAAATAAGGAGAGAAAGAATGTATGTACTAATATTTATGTGGTCATCTCTCATGCCACGTGTGCACCGTGCACGTTATAGCATTGGAGATGCTCTTATATCTAGTTGAGTATAGTTTCGTGAAGATTTTATATACCAATTTTTTTTATCTGTAATGAGTTTATAGATATAAATTGGTACTACATTCGCATTATAGTTTCCCAAACGCGGGAAATTGGTTCCAAAAACGAGGCGAATTGGTGCCGCTTCCCTTGGTGAGTTGGTGGGATTTGCGCTCTCACCATGAACCACATTTAAGGATGGACTGGGACGAGTGATGGACCCGGTTCGGGCCACCCGGCCCGGCCCGGTACTGTGCGGGACCGGCCCGGGAACCGGGTACCGGTTCCGGGTCATTGGCCCGGTTTCAGGAGGGTAGCGGACCGGGTACGGGTAGGGATGGACTCGGGCCGGGCCAACCGGACCGGAACCGGACCGGCCCGCTACTGTGCGGGCCCGGACCGGCCCGGTGAACCGGTTCGGTTCCGGTTCGGGCCTCCCGTCTCGGTGGTATACCGGTCCGGGCCCGGGCCTCCAGTTTAGTGAACCGGCCCGGCCGGGCCGGGCCCGGTTCGGGCCGTAATTTAATTTTTTTTTTTTTGAAATTTTTTTAAGTTTTGGGTTGGATTAGGTATTTTGGGCCATTTGAGGTGGTTTGGGGTGGTTTGGGGTGGAGGGGGAGGGGTAGGGGGTTAAATAAGAGAAGAAGAAAAAAAAAAAACATTCCGGGTGGCCCGGCCCGGCCCGGCCCGGTTCTGGCCCGGAACCGCCCACCACCGGTTCGGGCTCGGGCCTCCTTTTTCTGAACCGAGGCCCGGCCGGGCCCAGGCCCGAACCGGGCCCGAACCGGAACCGGTCCACCCCTAGGTACGGGTAGGGGGAAAATGGAACCGGCCCCGCCGGTTCCGGGCCCGGTTCGAGCTTAATTCTATTTTTTTTAACTTTTCGGGTTGGGCTGAGTATTTTGGGCCATTTGGGCTTGTTTGGGGGTGGGGGGGTCAGGGGTTAATTAGAAAACTTAAATATATATAAATATATATAAATATATATATATATATATATATATATATATACATATATATATATATATATATATATATAGAGAGAGAGAGAGAGAGAGAGAGAGAGAGAGGCCCGAGGCCCGGCCCGGACCCGGTGGATACCCGGGCCAGTCCCGGGCCCAACCTCAAATCCCAGAAAGCCCGCCGGGCCTAGGCCCGACCCGGCCCGAATCCAAGACTGACTGAGACGGGTCAGCCCGAGCCCGGTGGCTATAAGGGCGGGCTTCGGGCTTGTTTTTTGGCCCATCCCGGCCTCACTACAAACCTGGCCCGATATAGGGCCTGAAATTTTTAGGCCCAAGTCCGCCCATTCCCGGCCCGATCTCGGTCCATCCCTAACCTCATCAAGAAAACAATTAATTGAGCTGAAATATTGTTGGCTTCAAACGTTCACTCCCAAACAAATAGCCCGTTTGTTAACACTAAAATTGGCTAAATCATCTGATTCTGTTGAAATTTATGAAATTCTGACTGAACTGGTTGCATTTGGCTAATTCTGCTAATTTACGAAAAAAAATATAAAATATTGTTTGTTTATAAAATGAAGAAAAATATGAAAAAATGGTTAAAATGATCTTCTACAATCATTTCAGCCAATACAAACATAAAAGTAACTCCAATCTTACTTTTCTTATTAAAAAACAATTCATCGCGCGAAATTAAAAGTTACTCCGTATGTGTTTGGTGAAAAAGTTGGTTGATAAGTCTAATAAGCCGAAAAACAAATCCACCAAACAGGCTCAAAAAGAATAACAAAACAAAACAAAAAATGTTCACAATTCCTGCTTACGGGTGTGGTCTATAGAAAAGTTCAAGTATGATACACAAAAGTTACAAAACCAATTGAAACTACTCCGTATAGTAGTTAGCAAGGAATGAATGATCTTCAATCAGTGTCCATACTTAACTAGCTGTTACCTGGCCTATATGTTTCCAAAAGATCATCTATCTATACATCAAACAAGCACTGCCATAGCAAAACCCTTGCTGGCAATTACAAATGCATATGCACTGCTACTAATTATATGGGTAGTAGTATAAGAGGTGGTTGCCACTCCTCCCAGGACCTCTACTTTGTTGTAGAATATAGTCTGCTCCCTATTTTGTTTAAACAAAAAACGATTTGCATTGCTAACCAGTTCATGTGTCACAGGGTGGTGGTTCGCTCGGCAAATGGCGAACAAACTGTCCTTTCACTCGCGGTCGCTTCTCTGCAAGCTTTTTCCTGCTTTCGTATCTTACCTGTGTCCAAATCCATAAAATTGATTGATCAGTCTCATCTTTACTTTATACTTCTGTCAATCAGGGCTTAGCACTAGAGTCCAAGCCAGACCGAACCAAAATCTCCAAAGTTATTGGACGGAAGACCCGACTTGCATATCTGCAGCTTAGGACCAGACAAGACTAAACCATTCTAAGTATAACCAGACTGGTCAGTAATTTTTCAGAACTGTGTTTTTTAATTGGCTTTGCTCACTATTGATATTTTTAATAAATAAAACTTTTCTTGCAAAGAAAATTAAATTGAAGTGAATGATTCAAATATATTTATAAATAAATTATGTTAGTTAAAAACACATACTCCGTCCCTTGTAAATTTGCCAAGTTTGACCGGCACGTGGAATAACAAAGTAAAAATTGTGTGTTTGATGTTTGTGAAAATAAAGAATAAGAACCACAAATTATTTGTTTAAAGTGGAAAGTGGCATAGATTTAGGGACAACAGGAAAAAGGAAAGATGACAAATTTATAAGGGATAGAGAGCCGCTCCATTAAAAGGAAAGATCACAAATTATTAAAAATATTTCGGGTTTGGACCATAATCGGAATCTATAAAAACCTTGGACTGAAGACTATAGTGCTGACTGCTGAGAGCCGCTCCTTAAAAAAAAAGAAGTAACAAACCTTTTTCTCAAAGCATCTGTCTTTCCTCTTCAAGCGGAATTTGTCAAGAGCCGCTTGTCTTTGCAACCTTTGAGAATTTCTATCTTGAGCCACAGAAGCTTCTTCGTTCCTACACTCGGATTTAGAATCGACGGCAGTGTAATGACAGTTCATAACACCATTACCGTTATTTTCACTTTGATCAGTTGTAGAAGATACATGTGCCCGTTCAGGTTCTGAATGAAAACCTTGTTGGTAATTGGCCTGAGTGGTGGCTGAACTCACGTTCTGATTGGTTAGACCGTGACATTGCTGAGAATGTATACTTTGATGATTCAAGCAATGAAACGGGTATGCCATGAAGCTGTAGGTATTGCTTAGACTGTCAAATGTCACAGTTCTTACAGGAATTGGAACAGTAAATACTGTCCCTGCTGGAGAAGGAAGTGCAGTTTCACCACCCTGCCCAGATTCAATATCTGTCCGCTGGGTAAGACATTGAAAGCTCTTTGTGGGACCCTGAGTATCAGAATTATGATCATCATCACCTCTCTGTTGATTCAAAGTATTTGGAGATATCAAGTCTCTGGGATGCACCCCCTTGCTGACATACCTGCATGTATACTTTCTGCTTGTTAGGCAAATTTCAAATATTTTCCAATGATTTCGCATTGAAGCCTCTCTAATAGGAGTAAATTTTCCAGAAGAAATTCAAGTGACAATATTTTGAAATTATTATGGCATGGTTGTTGTTGTTGTTGTTGTTGTATAGTAGGGTAAGTTACCTTGCAGAGACGTACCCCTTTTCATTATTATTATTACTGTCAATGTTCAATAGGCTTCCCTTTTACTTATTACAATGTGGTTGAATTTCCTAAAAGCACATTTAAAAAAATGACCATGCAGTTGTAGTGTTGTACTTTCGTTCATGTGTACTACTTCCGTAATATTATACTCCACATGAATACTCTTGTATTGAATAAATTCTGTAATTTCGGCAAGAAGCCTCTCTCAAGGCAAGGGTCTGAGAAAGGGTCTCACCATAAGGGTGTGAGGGGCAAGCCTTCTCTTGTCATTTCGACAAGAAGCCTCTCTCAAGACTTAAAACCCTGACCTCTCCGATACGTAGCAACATCGTAACCTTACGCCAAGGCTCCCCTTCAATTTCTTAAGAAACCAAAGAAACAAAAACTACGATATAATAGAGGGATTTTTATTTTCTTTCATCTCAAGTTAAAAAAAAAACAATTTCCCCACTTGGTTTGTCATTGCCCAATTCAGCAGTCAATTGAGTTAGTGGTTGGTTGAAAGCAAAAAAGACACTCACCTAGTAAAGGCTGATGCATCTGAAAGTTTTAACCTATGCCTTTCATCTGAAGGTTGGTTGATGGAACCGCTGGGATGCCTTGTCAAGGAAAGGTCCAGCAAAGGTGAAGAAGAAATGTAATTGCAATTCGGGTGGTTATCAAATAGACCAACCAAACTAGTGGCCTGCTTAGGCAGTTCTAATATAGTAGGACTGTTTTCATAAGAACTCCTGCCTTCACTGCTGACTTGATTCTCGGGATTCCTCAACTGAATACCTGAAGGGATTGGATGAGGTTCTTGAATATCTGGCTTCATACAAGAGCTCTGGAAATGATCAAGGAATACAAGAATCACTATAGCTCATAAAATAGTCTTTAATTATAATTTTCAATGTCCACTCTACAGGGGGAATGTAATTTAGGATGGCTTGTGGCAGCTCAACTGAGCCGTAATGCCATTGAAAGATTGAATTCAAATATTCAATCTATTAGCTAGTTTGACCCAATATATTATTAACTCAATTGAGTAACCCCGAACCAATACTGAAATCTACCGATATGTAAGCACTACCTGAGCATCATCACTTCCTTTCTGAATGCATTCCTTATTCCTTTCATTACAAGCCTTGAAACCACTAGAATCATTATTAAAACCATCGTTTTCGGCCGTTGCTTCAAACTTCAGCTGCACAACACTCTCATCAGCATGTCCTTCTTCAGGTTTGCTTGACTGAATGACATTAAAAAAATATGAGTTTTTTCCCCAAAGAGTAGGAAAAATTGAAGGGTTTTAGTATTTTCTTACAGCTTGTCTCCTCCAAACATGCTGCCACAAGTTCCTCAACTCGTTTTTCCTTACCGGCTTGACAAGAAAGTCAGCCGCTCCTCTCAACATGCATTTATAGACCATACTAATCGAATCGTGAGCAGACATCACTGTTACCATGAATGCAACATAACAAATTTAGCAATTAATTAATTAGCTAATTAAGATCAGCTTGTATAAATGAAGACGTATAAATGCTGGTGATGCTAATAGAAACATACTTATAACAGGAATACTTTTACAGATCTCATGTTCCATGATAAGAGTGAGAAGGGCATATCCAGAGATGGAAGGAAGATCAACTTCTGTCAATATAAGGTCAACATTTCTGGGCCGCTTCTTTAGCACCTCCCATGCCTTTAAACCATCACCAACTGCAGTCACTGCAAATACCATAAGCTCTAAATTGTTTCATCAAACAAAGGCTTTAACCTTTGTGATGTGTGAAGACATTAATTAAACTATAAATCTACAAATCGACATAGTGGTTTTATCAGAACCTTTGAAGACAAAAACAACTAAAACATAGCCACAAAAAAAGCAAAATTGCAACTAATTTAAAGAATGAAAACTGCAATCATCAGAATCTCTAAAGATTGTACCTTTACAAACAAACATACTCTATACAGCAAACAATTAATTAAATGTCACAAGTACAAGTCTGCAACTAAGGAACATTCAAGAACCCTCAACAAAAATAAGCAAAGGAGCACTATTTTAACCTTTAAAACTGCATTTTCTGAGAAGAGCAGCAATGATCTGCCTAGTAGAATCATCAGATTCAACCAACAATACTTTGAGAACCATTTTAGGCAACAATATCTCCCAGCTCACCGCCGCCGTGGCGGAAGGCGACTCGTTTCCTTCCTCAGCCTTCCTCTGCCCCGGCGCCGTCAGCAAGTCTACCCCCTCCGTTTCTTGAATCTCCGTTACAGCTCCGTCGCCGCCGCGGTCGTCACTGATCACCACAAATTCGCCCATTTTCCGGCAATGGGTCCTCAGAAAAACGGCAAGCTAAACATCAAGTGAGAAACAAGAGTCGCAAAGATTGTTCTTTGTCTTAAGACTGTAAAAAAAAATATCTCCGGAATGGGGGAGAACTAGTGGCTCAGTGATCGAACGGTTGGAAATAAAAGTTGTTCAGCTGCTTCAGTGATCGGACGGTGGAAAGTCAAAGTCGTTCCTTTATCCGCCTGCCGTCTAAATGGCTCCTAATCACTTTCAAGTAATCGTAATTATCACAGGAAGAACGTGGCAAAATATCTGTCCAAGGCTAACGTGTATGGGCCCCAATCAGCCACGTCGGCCCCTTATATATTCTTCTGATCATAAAAGCAAAAGAGTCATTGGTCTTTTTGGGTTGTTGGGCTCACCTCAAATAAATTAATTAGAGAGAAAAATAAAAGGAAATGATATCAGCCCCATGTATTTTTGAGTAAATACTGAGTAGTTTATGATACTCTTAGATATTTTGTGTGTGTGCCCTACCAAGAAGGAGTCCGATTTTGTTCACCCCTCTAAGGAGGGTGAACATCACCCTCACCATATAATTCATGCCATTTGGCACTCCAATTATCTTTTTTCTTAAAATCTTTATAACTTTTTTATATATAATCTGATTTTCATAAAAAATATATCAAATTTAATAACTTTTTATTATCTTCCCAATGGTATCCATATTGCTTATAAAAAATTGAAAAAAGAAATCTCTTTTTTCTTAAATCTATTATTTGCGGGATTTTTTTTTTAAATTTTACATATTCAATATTGGTACCATATGAAAGATCATAAAAAATAAAAAATATTGATATAATTTTTGAAAAAATTGAATAAAAAATAAAAAAATTATAAGAATTGCAAAAGTTTAAACAATTGCCATGCCATGTGGCAGCCAAATAGGGGTGGGGGTGATGTTCACCCTCTTTTGAGGGGGTGAACAAAATTGTTCTCAAAATTATTTCAATATTTTGCTTGTAGATGGAGGGTTTCATGGATATCAGATAGACACGTGGACGGTGGAACAACCCACTTTAGATCTTCCATTTGTGGCTTTGGAGCTGTCAAACGATATCTTTGGTTTTCGTTCAAAGCAAGCTTTACTCTTCCTCTTTATTTCAATATTTAATTTATAGGGTTATTTGAATCTATTTCTTAAAAGGAAAAATGCATTTTTAGTTCATGAAATAGTCACGAAAACGAAATGTTGGAACCGTATTTTTGATATTGTAAATGTCAACCCTCAATTTTTCAAATTGTTGTAAATGTGGTCCTTTAAGTGTTGAAATATACTCTCGCGCACACTGTATATTTCACCACTAAAAGGATCACATTTATAGCATTTATTGTGACAATTGAACGATGACATTTACAAATTTGGGAATATGGGTCCGACATTTCATTTACGTGACTATTCCATTTCAAGGACTAAAAATGTGATTTCCTTTTCTTAAAATTATTTTTATTCTTTTATCGAATAGAAGCAGACATTAAATTGTTTTGAGCGAAATTGTAAAACTATTTCTAGGTGTTTCAAAGTACTTTTCGCAACATTTTTTTTAAGTAGTGAAAGATAGTTTCTTAAGAAAAACTGAATCAATTTCAAACACCTTTATATTAGCAACTCATCTTTTTTAGGAAAGATGCCGTTGAAATACGTACTCCGTTACTCCGTAGATATTATTATACCGATGAACTTGTCATTATAAATTTATAACCCATTTCAATTTTCCTAGCAATTTATCCGGTTTAGGATGACATGTACATGTTTATCTTTTTTTATGGGAATATTGCTTCCATAGAGTTCATTTGGTAATTTGTATTTCCAGTTTATCAGTTTTATCGAACAACTTTTCTGTCAAATACGAGACTCTTGATTTCACGCATTCAATTGTGTAATATGAGAATAATTAAGGTTAGAGTTACGCTTTTAAATGATTTGGATACAATTTTTATATAGGCTATTTAGTGATTTTTTTCCCATCATTTGTAATGGAGCCAAAGACTCACTATTTTTTTGCTTGTAAATATGATGGAATAAAGCAAAATGGCTCACTAAGTGACTAAACTGTCTCCACTTCTTTGTTATGAAGGTGCAGTCAATCCATGCAATTTTGGATGCGATTTTCACTATGAGTCATCCGGAAATAGTCTCTGATCTTTGTACTTTGGTACAGGGGTAAGACTGCGTACATCCGACCTCCCTTACCCCACCGTAGGTGGGAGCCTTTGCGGCACTGGGGTAATGATGATGAATGAATGAATGAATGAATGAATGAATGAATGAATGAATGAATGAATGAATGAATGAATGAATGAATGAATGAATGAATGAATGAATGAATGAATGAATGAATGAATGAATGAATGAATGACTTTTTAGTTATTTTTTCATATAATCTTTTCATTATTTTATGAACAAAATATACTGTAAATATAATAATTTCATAATTCATCAATTTCAACAGATTAAATCAATTCAACAATTTCAGTATGATCAAACAAACTCTCTAAATATACATTATCCTTTAATCTTTATTATCATACTTAGCAAACTAGGTCCACATAAACATGTCGAAGTTCTTTTAAAATTAATTCTCATTCTCACAATTAACTTTCAACCGAATTATGATGCATTTCTATTAAAGTGATTAAAGTGAGACAATTTACCTTGGGTAATAAATATTTTCGGTATAGGGAGGTAAGTTATGTTTATTGAGTAGGTAAAAGTTATTATATTGAAGTTTTTTCAAAAACCTATTGACATTAATTGTGAGAATACTTTTTCATAAGTTCGTAATTTAACACGCATTTAATGCGTGTTGAGATTAATTTTTGTCAATTTTTCTAGCTTAAGTGTGGCTCATAGTTAGGTCAAGTCATGGTTTACCGGGTTTTGGATTGTGTTTGGCATTTTTAAAGTAAAAAATAGGAAATTGAGCCCGATATCGGCGTTGGAGAATTAATCAGGAGGATTCAAGACACATTTTAGAGTTATTGAGAAGTCATGAAGGTCCATGAGTCATTAAAGGAGCGATTTTGAAGCCAAAGGAGCTCAAGGATCAAACACGAGATCAAACGGGGATGAATAAAGCTTGAAAATGGCAATCACAATGACGCTTTGTTACTCGTTCGAGCATATCTTTTCATAGAGACATCAAAAGGAAACAAATCATGTTTCATATGAAAGTTAACTTAAAGAGATACAAATCATATGAAGACACCATGACGAGAATGTGAGAGGATCAAGGTGAAAACAAACAAGGAAGTAAAATAAACGTTGCTGAGATTTCAGAATGCGATCTTCCACCATTTTGTCCATGTTTTTTATTGGATGATCCAATATCCGTTTCTCAAGTTGTGGTGGATAGAGTACTTCATTAGCTACAACTTTGGTGCAAAAAGCATAGTCCAACTCAGACGGAAAATGCACACGCCATGCACCCAAAGTACGCACGCCGTGCGTGAAAGGAGAAATCACAGAAAGGCTACTGGAGGCCGCGCACGCCGTGCACACGAACCACACATGGCGTGTGCGGCGATTTTCAAGCTCAGGTTGCTCCGGACACACGGGAGGCATGCACGCCGTGCGTGGGCATCGTGCGTGTGCTCTAGGTGTCTTTTTTGGCCAAAATTGCTCCGTTTTCTATTTAAGCAGCCTGTAAACCCCTGTTTTATTGTTGCAAAGCTTAGAGAGAGTGCCTAGGACGAAATTTTGAGAGGTTTTCAACCTTGGATCTTTAATATCTTGGGATTATTTGTAAGTTCTATTTTTAATTAATGACGATTAATTTTTTCTTTCTCAATTCTATTGTTAATTCAATTATATATGGTGAGTAGTTTTGATCAGGGATTTGAAATTGGTGAAGGGGTTAATCGTGATCTTTGAAAGAGTCGAACCAACATAAGAGTATATGACATGTTTGGTATATAGTCTTAAGAATAAACCCGATGATTAGACGGGTGATCAAATTCCTATGTTACCTCAATATCTACTAGTCTTATGTCGAAGTTGCGGTGACAATGTTAAAAGTTGGCGTTCCATTCTAAAAGGTCAACCTGATATGAGCAGTAATTCAAAATATTATAGTGTTTTATTGTTTTAAAGCAATCCAATGTCAGACAAATATATTTACACGTCATCTCAGCCCAAATTGGGCTAAACAATATTGGGGTGTATAAGTGGACCAAATAATCCCTTAACAATTTATCATTAGTCATTGGTGCTAAACAAGCAACAAACCACAATCAGATCTAATTCTGATACCATGTTAGGACTTAGGGTTCTATCCTAAAGGTAAACCTCATATGAGGTGTTACTCAGAATCTTGTATATATATATATATATATATATATATATATATATATATAGGGGAAAGGATCAAATACAAACTGTGCTTATTGTGCAAACATTTGTACGATGCACCTTAACGTTCTTTGTATTGCATATTGAGGTTCAAAGTAGTGCATATTATTCAGCTATAAAATAGCAGTTGCACATTAACGTTCAATGAGTTGCACCCTAAAAAAGTTGGGTTTTATTACAAAAATGCCACCTTGCCTTTATGTCCTTTGGATCAATTCATCGGACGGTCAAGATGAGTTTGTACTTTGTAAATTAAGAAGGGTTTGTATTTGATCTCTATTCTATATATATATATATATATATATATATATATATATATATATATATATATATATAGAGTCCTTTTGGAAGAGAAAGCGCTAGAGCGAGCTGCTCAGTGGGTGGAGACTCTACGATTGCCTAATTTGGAAGTTGAAGGATCTGTTTCTAGATTGCAAGAGGATGGGAGCAAATTTTTGGGCTGTTTAAGTGGGCTGAGTTACTCCGTTGTCTCGGCCCAAGTCAATCAAGCGGCGATTCTGGTTGCTAAAATGGGCCTAGATGGTAATTTTATTTGGCAACAAGGGGAAGCTTTTACACCAAAACTACAGGGGGTTATTATGTTAGATGCTTCTGATATGCCTTACATCATTTAATGAAGGAATGGCTTCTTTTGTTGTGGGTATGGCTTCTGCCTCCATGTGTAAAAAGTGTTGGGTAATTAATAAATTTTGGTAGATGTTCCCCGGCATCTACCCCACTGATTTTGGTGGTTTACCTACCGGGTTTTTAAAAAAAAAAAAAAAAAAAAAAAAAAAAAAAAAATATAGAGTCCTTTTCTTGTCCAGCCGGCCTGACGGGAACCGCCGTCTGGCCGAGGGCATTTCAGGCACTTCCCGATGTAATTTTTTGATGAAATTTTTTGAGCATGTTCTTCATGAAGCCTAGTTTATCCATACCAAATTTCAGCTCAAAATTCGATCGGGAAGGCATTCAAATAATTTTGTGAAGTTAACTGGGCAGTTTATATGTATGAACTGCCCAGTTAACTTCAAGAAATTATTTGAATGCCTTCCCGATTGAATTTTTAGCTGAAATTTGGTATGGATAAACTAGACTTCATGAAGAACATGCTCAAAAAATTTCATCAAAAATTTTCACCGGGAAGTGCCCGAAATGCCCTCAGCCGGACGGCGGTTCCCGTCAGGCCGGCTGGACATGAAAAGTTGTCTATATATATATATATATTAATTGTTTTAAAGCAATACAGTGTGAAACAAATACTTTTAGCAAGGTTGTTAACTATACGTTGCCTTTTATTTTGTTCATTACAAGTAAAAAGTTCTCACAAAATTGAATAGCTTGAAATCCTATGTTGTAAGAACCGTGCCGGGGAGTGACCCAGACATATGACTGGGTCACGATCAATCCGGCCAATGACCGGTAAACCCGGTCAACACCAATACATATAATTAATTATATAAAAGATTAAATTGATTATTAGAAAAAGTATATTCCTTCATTAGAAGCTTATATACTCTCTACGTCCATTAAAGCTTTGCCATCTTTGAATTTTTGGTCAACCATGTTGAACTTTGACCAATTATATATTTTTATAGGAAATATTTATAATATATAAAATTATATAAAAATGTTCTTTGTTAGAAGCACTTTCATAAGAGTATAAAACTAATCAAAATCATGGTCCAAACTTTATCATCACTGACTTAAAAATCAAAGATGAAATAGAGCCCGTTTGGTAGCACGAAAATCGACTGATTTGGCTGATTCTGCTGAAATTATGAAACTCTGGCTGAAGTGGTTGAAGTTGCTGATTCTGCTTATTTAGGAAAAAATTATTTTTAAAATATATTTTATAAATAAAATAAAGAAAGAAATATATGTAAAAATAGCTAAAATGGTCATCTACAGTAACTTCATCCAATACAGTCAGAAAAGTAACTCCAACCTTACTTTTCCGGCTTATTACACAATTCAGCACACGAAAGCAAAAGTTGCGTGTTTGTTGAAAAAGATGGCTCATAAACCTGATAAGCCGAAAGACAATGTTGTCAAACGGCCTCATAGTTGTTAGAGAATAAGGTAGGAGTGTTTTATTGTTTGAAAGCAATTCAATGTTGGACAAATACATGGTTCTTCACTACATGTCGCCTTTTATTTCGTACATTACGGGTTAAAATTCTCAAGAAAGTTAGTAGCTTGAATCCTATATCGTCCACCATTATGCTTTTCATGGCATGAGATTGTTTTGTGTGTTTTATCGTTCGAAATATGTGAAAAAAATCTGATGAATCGAGCTCTTCAGACTTATTACTCTAGATAACTACTTCTAAGATAGTAGAAAACGTATTGAGGGCTAGTACTAATATTAGTACTATAACTCAGTTTCTATTTTTCAACAGGTAATATTACTCTTTTTTTTACTCTTTTAATTATTGTATAACAAGATAAATATTCTCTTTATTTTGTTTTTGTCATTATAATAATTCATTTCTACTCGTTATAAAATTTATTCCATATGCTTTACCTCTTTTCTTAATATACATCTTTAAATCCTTTAGAATATAGTTTTCTCGTGCATCGCACGAGTATAATAGTAGTACAGAAATAAAGAATTAACACGAAAAATTAAAATAGAGTAACGACAACGGTATAGGAATGACTCAAAGATAAATATGAAGCAATTATATAATTAATTAGAAGAGAATAAAAAAGTTGCAAAACTGCAAAAGGAGATGCCTATTAATTCAAAATCTTTTCAATACCAAGTCCCAAGTATTTATAGGTGGATTATCGATGACTCTTGAGTTGTCAAATGGTCGTTCGGAAACCATGCTGTATGCTCGAGTTTCGGAATGAAAAAGAAGACGGATTGGAAATGGACGGTCACAAAAACGTAAGGTTGAGAGGAAAGGTTTAAATGTTTAATATGTACTTGCTAAGATGGTTCCATTTCCTTTTTTAGTCCGTCCCGCTAAGATTATGTCATAACAAATTCAGTAAAGTTCATGTCATTCTAAATCGTTTTTACTTTTTCAACTAAATAGGGGTCATCACCTTTGCATGATCGATTTGTCCTGTTTTACAAGCTTCCCCAGTGGGACACCCGTCCATGGGATTTCTTGCCCTTAGGCTAGCTAAATTAGAGAGTTGATGATCTGAGTTAGCACACACAATCAAAGTAGTAACCAATTCAAGGTGGATTCTTTTGAACACCCACACAGTTAACTACACTAATGCAGAACCCCATTACTTAGAAGTGGATGAATGTGAGAGGCTGCATCACGTGGTGCCAACATGTCACACCTAATCAAAGAGTGATACTAATCCTTATAAGATTAACAACCTTCCACATCATTCACTCCCACAAACTAATGTTCAACAATTATAATACTACCTCCGTCCCGCTAAGATGTTCCTAGTTTGACCTACACACATATTAAGAAAATAAACTTACTAGGTGGGTAAAATTTACCGTTTCGACACTGTTTGACACTGTTTGACACTGTTTTGATGTAGGATAACTTTCCATTTAGAGAAATGAGAAATTTGTTTTAGGGCTGCTAAAAAAGGAAAGCAAGAAGATCTTAATGGGACGGGGGAGTATAATCCAAATCACCCCACCACATTGTTAAATTGTTACATGCCATCCTTTATAAATATTTGAAATACATAAATTTTAATTTCAGAATTATACTAGCTTAACAATGTTATACTCTTAATATAGGTCTCAATTGTTCTATAACAACAACAATAACAAATACGCAGGAGGCAGAGAGCTCCTAGGGCAGAGCCGCCGCTAGGTAATTTCCGATTTCGATCTTTCTTGATCGAAGTTCGGTCAATGTTTCCCTAGCGAGATCTCTCGCGTAGGGTTTTTACTTCGCTGCCCTGGTGCAGCGTTTCTTTCAATCGACGCAGCACTGCTTCGGATTGCCGTGGTTTGGACGTAGCTCGGGATGGATGATCATGGCAGTGAGAAGATGGTGGAAGAAGAGAGAGAGAGAGAGAGAGAGAGAGAGAGAGAGAGAGAGAGAGAGAGAGAGAGAGAGAGATAAGGATGATTGGGACATGATTAACGTGGAGAGGCTAAACACTCCATTCAATGGCATGAATTTGGGTCATAGGGCGGATACGCCACCGAAAGAGGGTATCAATCGAGCGGCGGTCCGACCTTCGCCTGAACCACCACCATGGATTATACGAGCTGCTAGAGTCCGTGAAAGATTTCCTAGTTTTTAGCCTCTCTTGATGTCATTGGATATGATTGGATCTATGGGAACATGTTTGGTTGTGTCAAGCCCACTACATGGTTAGCGATTCGTGTTGCTCTTATTTCAGGGGTGACCGTCTCAAAGTCTCATCATAGGGTTACAGTCGTAGTTGTTGGAGTTTCAGTTGATGTCAGTTTTATTTTCCCTTTGTTTGATGTAATGATCTTGAATCTTTTGATATGAATAGATGCGTGTTTTGATGATATAAAAAGAATTGTACTAGCTTAACTCATGCTGTTTCATTTTTTAAATATTTCTTACTCAAATAAATATAAAATATAATGAAATTTTTATTCGAAACATTCAATTAAAAAATAAAAACCTAAATGTGATTCATCTTCCGGTTCGGTTCATATCTGGGTTCGTTTCTACTTATGGTACCTGGTTCTACACTTCTACCAGGCGATATGTTTCTTTGCCGGGAACGTTAATGGCGACATTGTCTATGTCTTCAACTACCAGAGCATTTTCTTGCCCTTCCTATTACTCCACATATTCTTCTCTGTCACCAACAATATCTTTGGTCAGGTGCTGCAAAAATGTGGACTTCTTGTCACTTTCCTATAGTTACTGTCTTGCTTCGAGTTTCAAGATCACCGAGACTAATATCTCGAGAAGAAAATCTATGGGGATTCGGATGTATTGGGATGGCCCTCTCTCTTCCGTCAAACTCAATGTCCAAGGCAAACACTTTGAGGTATACCTCCTATTTCCCTGCAATTCTGTTTGTATTTCCCTGATTTTGGAGCTAGTTGGAGGTTTTCTATTGTGAAAATTTTGTCTATATCTACGCGATTTAACTAGAATAGAGAGAAATCGTGCTTCCGATTATATGTATAAGTGGAATTGCATGTGCTTTCTATTGTCTGTTAGAACTACTTAGAATGCTACTTTTTGCGATTAAAAGAGATGAAGTGGCGTTAAGAAATTGTTATTGAATTGTAGTTAACACCTGCTGTAAGAAGCTATAATGAGGACAAGTTGGGTAGGGCAGTTCAGAAGCATAGCCATCTGGTGAGGGAAGTGGACGCTAGGTTGTCCGTGCGTGGTGGTGAGTTTGGGAAAGGCCCAAAAGTTCAAAGATGCGAGGTATCTGTTGCTGACATGATAACTAGTGTTATTTTTTTTGTGTGTGTATAGTTATAGATTCTTAAATGAACTTTTAGGTGACTTTGTATACAAAGAAGCACGGTGTTGTTCGTGCAGAGGTTGATGCAGAGTCGCTCCACGGGAGTATTGACTTGGTGTCATCAACTGTACGGAGAAAGCTGCGGAAGATTAAGGACAAAGATTCTGATCATGGTCGGCATATGAAAGGCTTCGACAGACAGAAGGTTGGGGATCCAGGTGCACTAGCAGGACCAGAAGCGGGGGAGCCACTTTCTATAGAAGAAGAAAAACAAGAGAATGATGATGAAGGCTTCATTGGTGAGGTCAGTTTCCAGACCGTTTGGATTATGGTTTCATGATTTCTCAGTTTTGGGAAACTCGGTTGAGATATAGTCATATAGGGAACAACCTATTTCTTTATTACTCAATCAGTGCAAATATGCACATAGTTGCAAATCAACTTGAACTGTAAGTTACTTCATAGTATTTGTTAAACACAATCTCTTAGGGAGAAGAGGCGGAATGTTGTAGGTAGTCGATACGTTGAAGAGTAGCACTCTATTTTTTCTTCAGCTATGCAATGGGATGGAAGAAAGGTCACATGAAGGGATGGTCATTTTGAAGAAAAACTTGATGGTTACAGTCCACATGCTTGCTGAGATCAACAAGTAGATTCACACGATAAGAAGAGAGCGAAAATAGCCTCCTGAAAAAGAAATGTTTATTTTTTTAAAGGTTAAAGTAGGGGTCCCTACAGAGTACGATTTACCTAAAGAAGCATGCTTGAGAAACCTTTACTCGTATTATTACCTGATTCCCAACTATATTAGGGTAGGTGACAATGTGACATGAATTTTTAGTGTCAATCAGTTGTATAAAACTAAATAACTAGTTAACACATATATTTGCATAAATAAAGCTCATGGGAAAATTTTTACTCTTAGGGTATGTTTGGGAGTTTGGAGGGAAGGGGAGAGCAAGACTTTGGAGGTTAGTCATAGGAGGTTTAAGGGGAAGTGAAGTGAAGGGAATCCTTCTTGTTTAGGAGTTATAAATTTGAAAAGAGGGGGGTTATGGAGGAATTATAATTAAATCACTTCAGTGATATGCCATGTTCAAATAGTTGAACTTATATTCCTTTTAAATTGAGCTAAACTTACCATTTAGTTAGTTGTCCTTCAAAATCCCTCAATTTGGGCAAACTTAAAAATTGAGCATTTAAAGGGTTTTGGAAGGTTTATAAGAACACTCTAAACCCATTCCTTCCCATTTTTTACTCCCACACAAGAAAGGAGAGGTCATAAACCCTCCTAATCCCCCCTCCCCTCCAAAATATAACTCCTAAACATACCCTTAATGCCTGTATTATTGCAATCTTTGAAAGAAATAATGAGATGAAATTCATAAACGTTCATCATCAGAATTTTTTTCTGCTTTCATGAAAACTACAAAAAAATTAAAACCTTCACCTGCTCCCTATGAAGTAAACCAAGCCTTTAACTGTCGCTCACAAATCAAAAGAAATGAAAAACGGATAAGTACACATAAAATAAGGAAAATAAACATGTTAGCTATTCTGGTGCTGGGAACCATCTACTGACCAACTCAGACATTCTTGAACAATGTGTCAAAACATTGGCCAGTCTTAAAACAAATCCCGAAGGCATGCTATTGAGACACTATAAAAGGTCAGCTTACTTGGCCTTTGTTTTTCTCCAAGTGTCCACGCTGCCAACAGGATAGTCAACACTCTCTCAGTAATTATTTTGAAGAATTATATCTTACATGGAGCAATTTTTTTCTTTCTAGGCCAGTATTATGATCTGAGACCAAACATGACAACTTAACTGTGATATTTGTTTTACGTTGCACATATGATTTGATTAACATATTGGGCTGAGAGTTTTTTTCTCAGATTGTTCGCAAAAAGTACTTGGACATGCCACCATTGGCTGTAAATGAAGCAATCGAGCAGCTAGAAAATGTGGATCATGACTTCTATGGTTTTAGGAATGAGGAAACTGGTAAATGTTTATATGTGATAGATATTTTTCTTCTTTAAGCTAGTTTATGTTTTTGTACCTGCCGTTGACTCTTTCCAAACTTGCAGGTGAAATCAACATTGTCTATCGCAGAAGAGCTGGGGGCTATGGCCTTATTATACCAAAGAGGAATGGGGAAGTGGAGAAGTATGAGGGTGTTTAGGCCGAGTCAATCAAGAAAGCATCCCAGGCTTCCTAGGCGTATTGGGGGGAAATGGGAAACCGATGCGGATGTGTTTTTTTGTACTTTTGGTAGATTAGTGGATAACAGTAATGCTCTTCAGCAAATTCTAATTTTTCTTATAGTTGGCAGACATATTTGACAAGATTAAGACGAAGTAGAAGAATGAAGATGCTCATATTCAGTATTTCTAGAAAATTCCAGGTACTTGGCGCATCTGTTTTTTTAAAAGAAGAATGATGATGCTCATATTCAGTATTTCTAGAAAATTCCAGGTACTTGGCGCATCTGTTTTTTTAAAAGGAATTTAGAGTACATTGTATAATTTGGTTCGGATAGCAATGTTTTTTTAATGAAATGACCACCTTGAACTTTTTGTACTTTTGAAGATTCTTTACTAGCAAGTGTGGTTGAATTAACTCTCAACCATTGCATTAAGTAGGGAAGGAAAACAAACTCGACATCAATAAAGGAGATGTTTTAAAAAGCAAAGCCGATCCTTTGGAACAAGCGTTACAAAATCCAGTGTCATTATGTGTTGATGATATGGCCTTATATCGGTCATCTACTTTTAGCATAACATAGTTTGGCCAAAAATTTATGTCCATGTATGATGTATGCAACTCCAATTCAATGAAGATACTTATTTGCACATATTGTCAAATTTAACCAATTGCTTAGGTAGTGTGCAACTCCAATGCTTTTTGTACGATTTTCTATTCATTTTAGCTAGTTCATCTCTGCAAGCCAAATTAGTGTAGTCTTTAAGACTAATTTTTTTAATCTTTTCTCTCTCTTCTTTACATCCTCAACAGCCTCTGAATTATGGCTATTAGGAAAAGAAAAGTTGCATATAATTATGTTATAAAGTAACCAAATGTAGAATGGAATAGGCAAATTGTTAGTGTTATTGTGGCTTGCCCATATCCATTTTTTAAATACAATTAAGTCAAATTAGTGTATTGTTTATAATACTTAAAAAGTCATATTGTTGGAGGTTCTTCTATAAACCTATTTAAAACGGTAAAGTCCTGGTGAATAAAGGCTAACATTTCAGTGCTGAGAGATAATCTCAAATTTTCAGAGGCCCGATCAGCATATGTATTATTGTTAGGCAATATTCTTCTTATGCAATAATCTCATATATTATCGCATGCAATAGAACGTGCGGGTAACACTGCATGCATGCGTGTGAACTTTAATTTGTACACAAAAATAATATTATAATAATGCCAACATATTCCAGTTTTTTCCAAATGAACTTTATTGTCAAAATATTAGAAACTAATAGGGAGATTTCAACGGACCTAATCATACTATTTTTTCAAAATTAGGACCACACATTAGCGTAAGACATAAGTACACATCCTTTGACCTAATTGCCCTTGCTTTTAAATTCTATAGCAGACTGCATCGAAAGATTTAATGGAAGAATAGATCTGGGAGTAAGCAAACCTTCTTTCCCCTTCTTTCCTTCCATTCTACAGTAGCTTTGTTTCAATTTTTCTCCAATCCCATTTGCGACGCGCCGACACAGTGTAGAATTGAAGCATGGAGGGTGAATTTTTTCATAACCTCTGACCGTCGGCGATCCAGTAGCAACTGACGGCGGGTTTGTCAATTTTCTTCAAGCTCCTTCTTCAATCATCTACCCCTCCGATCCTCTATTTTTATCGGACGCCACCGCCATAGGTTTCTTCTTCGTACTCATCATCATCATCATCATCATCATCATCATCATCATCTTCTTCTTTCTGATTTTGGACATTGATTTTTCCAATTTCGAACTTCTAATTCATAGTTTCACAAGGCCACGAGGTACTCTGCAAAACTTTTGAAGTAATCATATCCAAAATCAAACTTGCAAACACTAGACAATACATAGACAATAAGTAGTCGGTAAACAAACAATAAATTCTAATAATAGCTCAATAGCAGACAACACATAGACAATAAGTAGTCATTAAACAGACAATAATTTCTGATAATAGCTCAATAACAGAGCAGGTAACGTAAAGCTAGGAGTACATTGAACTTGACCTTGAAATTGGGAGGGGGCTTATTAGCATCATCCCAGGGAGGATATTGAACTTGATTTCACAGAAATAGGGGGAATAGGGGAGAAATCGCTGGAATCCGAATAGGAAGGGTATGAGTAGTTCCCCATGGTTGTGATTGCTGCAGAATTGATTTTTTGACCTTTCTGTGTGTTTAGGGTTCCGTCGACGATGGGCGACGACCTCTCTAGTGGCGATGAATGGCGGTGAACTCAGTTGTAGCCTGCGACGAAGAGGTGCAATTAATTGAAATCGGTAAAAGGTGTAAGGTGAGTCGATTGCTCTGGTGCGTCTTCTTCGTGGTTGGCCTGCAGTAAATAAGGGTAAAAATGTAAAGCGATAATAATGTTTCCTAAAATATGACTATATAAATCTTACGGATGGAAAAAGGATACTTGAGTCCTCCTTTTGTAAAGACGGTAGCTTTTGGTCTTATGAATAACAATTTTCTCAAACTAATATTGTAAGAATCTATCTATAAAAATTATTATGACAATTAAGTCTGTTTCCTGGCCATACTTAAGGCTATTTCCTTAAATCTAAATACTCGGCATCCTTGAAGGAAATCTGGATATTCTTCCTCCAATCTCTTCGGTTCTTATTTACCAGTTTATCTCACGAAAAGTTTAATAATGAATGATACTATTGTTGGAAATGTGATGGAATATTATATTTGAAAAATTTATTATACATCAAAGTACAACTTTTCAAGAGTGGATTATAACTAATAAAATAATCCATAGTTGTAAAGGTGGTAAAGTGATGTATTAATATGATGAATTTTTTTGTCGCTTATAAAATAAAAGCTCCCGTTGTAAATTATTTTAACTGATAAGGAACATAGTTCAAGTATCATTTAAAATGACTTGAATTGAGGGATCGCTTGTGTTTCCACAAAAATTTGAGGCTAGCTGAATCTGAATGGTTTTTTATTTTAAATAGTAAAATAAAAACACAGCAGCTAAAGTTTATTCAATTTTCAAAATTGAAATGAGCTGCTAGTATTTTAAATAGTAAAATAAAAAGAATATTTTTAATGAAATTTCACTCCCGTGATAATATTCATTTTTCAAAATAATGTATTTAGCAGATTAAAATATTGAACACAACACTCCTTAAATTAATAACCAAGTAATAATTTTTAACCGATTATAATGACATGAATATTATCAACAATAAAAATTAAAACTTGCCGAAGCCTAAACTTACTTGGTTACACATAATTACAGTAAACAAAATAAAAGTAGAATTCATGATAGGCATAATTAATTTAACAGGTTAAGGAAATTGAATTAATTTGCGAGAATGAGTATTGTGTTAAGTACCTGCATAAATAATGAAAACATGGATGATATTTCCAAGTGAACTTTATTGTGAAAATATTAGAAACTGGTATTGTAAGAATCTATCTATATAAATTATTATGTCAATTAAGTCTGTTTGCTGGCCATACTTAAGGGTATTTCCTTAAATCTAAATACTCGACATCCTTGAAGGAAATATTGATATCCTTTTTCCAATCTCTTCGGTTCTTCTTTACCAGTTTATCTCACGAAAAGTATAATAGTGAATGATAATATTACTTAAATCCATACCGCGCACGAAAACTACTGAAAGATAAAATGATGTCTTTAATTACAATTTGTAATTTACAAAATTAAATAAATTTGAATGGATGAGCTAAGCGAGCTCATGAAGGCACATCACTTTCATTATCTTTCATTGTCTAGTGATTATTAGACAATGAAAATGTTCTACCTTCATGAGCTCGCTCACTTATCATACAAATTTGACACAACCTCTAAACCAAGGCATTTTGATAACTTTAGTTTGAAATTAGGAATATAATCTTGTAATTTATTTGACGTCGGTGTGGGAATATTGATGGAATTGGTTTTGCAAAAAAGTCAAAAGAAACCCAAGCACAATTAATGTTGGAGTTCGTATTTATTTAAGAGGAAATTTACCAAATCATACTTTTACAATCATAAAGCACGAAAAATGCGAACGTGTGAGGATTAAAAAATAAACTTTTGATAAGGGCGTGTAGTCTTTTTCAAAGCAGATTTACCTTAATATAGAACTAAAACCCATCCATTTTTCAAAAATAGGACCAATAATTTAAACTTTCTTCAATATGGTTTTTATTTGTGATTGGACAAAATTACCCTTACAGGGTTGGAGTTGCTACCCCTGCTGCCCAAATCAATGAAATAAAATTTCCAGAACTGCTCCGACGGCCTGCTAGAATTTCTGCCACCATTGCTGTCAGAGTAAACTACTGCCGCCACCGCGGACTGGCTCCGCCACTAACGGACTGATTTGATTATGCAAGGGAACCAGGGGCAGTTAATTAATTAATTAATTAATTAATTAATTAATTATTGGTAGCAATGGGATGGTTACTTCCATCTATGGAAATCCAAGTATTTGATCATGTTTAGGAAGAAGGCTTTGTTTTGGTTCTGGATAAAAAAACCTATTAGGTAGATTCTATGGTACCCCAAATGTACCGTACGTCCGTACCTTTGTTCAAATGGACCAATAAGAATGATGCAGTTGAATTATTTAAATCTAAATTACAAAGCATATAATGATTTGGACCAATCAAATGCATGGTAGGTACGGTACCCCCATTTTTTAAATGGGTACCGGAGTTGTCACCTACATATTAACTCGTCGTTTATCATGTGGATTTATCCAACCATGTTTAGTTTTTAATCATTAATGTTAGCCGATCGTTTGTTTGGAAATCAAGTTTCGATATAGTAACGGGAAATAAAAACTAAGTCTCCAAATATGTAGTGTAAACACTAAATTAAATAATAATCATTTATTAACCCTATATCATTCCCCGGCAACGGCGTCAAAATGGTGACATGCCAAAATATGTAGTGTGAAATGGTATAAAAATGATGTTTTTATTTACTTGTAACGATATAGTACGTATAGAGTAAATGAGTATATCGTTCCACAAGAGAATGACTCACAAGGAAAATAGTATTATTCATTTATTTTACGTATCTACAAGTTGATAAAATTTTGAAATTGAGTAAAGTGAACTTGATTTTTATAATTACAATGCTTGATAATTTTGCCAAGGGAATATTTTAAATCACAATGCTTGATAATTTAAAAATGC